GGAGGTCTCCCATCCAGGTACTGACCAGGCTCACACCTGCTTAGCTTCAGTGGGTTGCCAGTTGTGAGTTGCAGGGTGATATGGCTGCTGGCTAAAGGTAACATCTCTATTACCAGATATAAGGAAATGTCCTACATATTGCTACATTGACTGCTAGCCATATCTAAGGAGAACATACCTAAAATGTTCATCTTATCTTACACTTCAAAGTCTTCAGTTTGAGGATTCAGGTTTTTCAATAAAATGTCAATTTAAGAGAATGTGTTTCCATCATTTTTGATTTTCACAAAATAAAATAAGATGGCAGGTGCTCTAAGTGATCTTTGATTATTTTGGGTTGTCTGTATGGGATAGTGTGAATTTTGTGAAGTTTCTAAGGGGGTCTCTGTGATATGGATTCTGTTACTACAGCTGCAGCCATCTAATCTAATAGTTTTGCCACCATAGACACCAAGGTGTACAGTGGTGACTTGCAACACTTCATTCTTATTTTTCCCTATTTGTCAAATGCAGGACTGCACTTCTCTGCCAGGTGGAACAGTAAAGACTTAATTTTCTCAATTCATGAATATACAGCACTTCATATTTTTATTTTAAGTTTGTTTTTATCTGAAGAGAAACATAATTAACATCAATCAGAGCTTCCCACAAAATTTAAAACTTCACCCCTTTGAAAACATCCCCCCTCTGAAACCACACCTCCTGCAAAACCCCACCCCCTGCAGCTCTGGGCTGCTTGAGGAGATACAGAGATTAGTTTCATTTCTGCTGAAACAGCTCTTCTTCCTGTTTGTCATGTATTTAAGACCAGTTCATCTGCTTTCATTGACAGGGCCATGGATATTCAATATAAGTTTTTTTTTCTGTTACCATTAACGTGCTTAAGACATGAACTGGTCTTTAAGGCCATGTTGTCATTGAGTAAATATCTTACAAACAGGAAGAAGAGCTGTTTCAGCAGAAATGAAACTTATCTCTCTTTGTAGCCTCCTGGAGCAGCCCAGAGCTGCAGGGGGTGGGGTTTTGCAGGAGGTGTGGTTTTGGAGGGGGGGGGGGTGTTTTTAAAGGGGTGTACTACAAACAAACTGATCTTACTCTGTTAGTATCCCTACACATAACAAAGGACACCCCCTAGATTTAATCACTGCAAATGACTCCCACTGTTCTTCCCTTGATCTAGGCCTCTCTGACCACTTAGCTATTCTATTCAATCTATACTTACCTGTTTCATTTCCTACCTCCTCCCTCCTTATCCAACTTTTCTGGTTCCCTTCTGTCCAGCTTCTCTCTTCTTGACTCAGCATCCTTCAATAAACTAGTTACACACACAAAACCCACCACATCTATTTTAGATCCCATTCCCACCGCTTTATTTCAGTCCTGTTTCTCTTCTCTCTGTCCCATTGTCCTCAATATTATACATGAATCCACGAGCACTGGCATTGTACCAACGGTCCTCAAAACTGCTGCCATTACCCCCGTGCCAAAAAAACCTAACATGGCTCTCGACAATCTTAATAATTTTCGCCCCATCTCCAACTTACCCTTTCTCGCTAAAATTCTAGAACGTGCTGTCACACTTCAGTTACATAACCACCTCATGACAAACAACCTTTTCGAACCCCTCCAATCTGGCGTCCGTCAACTTCACAGCACAGAAACTGCCCTGGTCAAAGTCACTAACGATCTTCTAATAGCTGCTGATTCTGGTTCTATTTCTATACTCATCCTTCTTGATCTTAGTGCTGCTTTTGACACTGTTAACCATGACATCTTACTTTCTCGTCTTGAGACTGTGTTTGGAGCTTCTGACACTGCTCTCAAATGGTTCAAGCCTTACCGCATTGATCACTGTCACTTTGTCTCTCTTAATGGGTATAGGTTTGAAATTGGTCTTGTTAAGTCTGGTGTTCCTCCGGGCTCAATACTGGGCCCGTTGCTCTTCAGCATTTACATGTTTCATCACATGGGCTCAGCTGTCATTTCTATGCTGATGATACTCAAATAAACATCCATACCAAACCTGACACTGATGTGGCTGTCTCTATTCTATCTAATTGCATTTCTGACATAAAAACTTGGATGACTCAAAATTTCCTTCATCTTAACTGTGACAAGACTGAAGTCATGCTTATTGGCACCCCCATATTAAGTGGATTTAAAGAAGTAGGCTTCCAGTACATTAATGTTAAGTACTGTACTTTGAAGTACCATGCATAGTGGTCTAATGCAAAAGCTTTCAATCCGATGGATCCAGGCTCCATTAATTACATTAATTATTTTTAATTATTAATTAACAACAGAATTATTATACCAAGAAAAAAAAAGATTAAATGAAGCTACCATTTCATTTGTAGTCTCATGCAACACAAGTGCCACCTATCCATCTGTTTTGTGCAGTAAAGGGCTGAAAGTTGCACATGTTTTGATGGATGCGTCTGTTGGTTTCACATTCATATAGAATTCATATGGAATAACCAGTAGGTCAGAATAGAACATTCTGTCTATAAAAATGTTCTAAAGAATTTCCAATTGATTTAGGGATAGACAGTGGGCAGAGGATAAAATAAAACATAATACCTCAAAGAGATTTTTGCAGCCCAATTGTAGCAGTTACTTTTTGTTGAAATTACATGGACATTTAAAAATATTCTGAATATTAAAATTATAAAATTATAAAATAATTGTTACAGTCAATCTAAAATGTAAGGAAATAAATTAGTTCAGGCCCATCCTACTAAATTCATTTAATCATTATTACTTTATTCATTAAATGTTTTCTCAATAGAATTAATTAGAGCTCAGATTTTTCCTCAAATCTGAGTTGAGCAGCTTTTCTGTCTCCTGCAGCCCCTTTTTGCCAAAAGTGGGAAGAGACCACAGTAGAAATGTCCTGAGTGTCTGTATTTCTCAGCAGAATCAGCTGGAGGTCATACAGTCACACACTCAGACGAGACTCCAGGAGAGAGAGTTTATGGAGTCACTCAGAGTGGGTTTTGAGCAGAGGAGTGGGTAACACTTAAACCCATATGAACAGCTGGGCACTGGACAGGCCAATACACCTAGGAAATACAAAACATAGCACAATAGTATTAGAAACTATCAGTGTCAGGGTAATACCTAGGTAAAATCTGAAGCACGAGAAATGACAAGAGAGTTCTTTATGTTGTTACATGTGTCATTTGCTGGTCACATTTTGAAAGTTCACATCTCAGAAAACCGAAATCCTTTTGTTTTAATCAGAGTAAATCATTTGAAACCATTGTTTCAATCAATCATCAGGAACCCATTTGCGCATCTGTGTTTATTTGCCTCTCAGTTGTTCTGCAGCTTGACAAAATACACCAAATGTTTTAAGTTTTCTGAGTTAAAATAACAGTGCAAACAAAATGTGTACTGCAAACAACACACCCCTGGCTCATATCAATTTATTCTTATCTGTGATGCATTATACCAAGATACCAAGTTTTTTCTGGTATTAAAGTGACCAATAGACCAGTAAGAAAGCCCATCAGTTTCAATCTCTGCAATAATTCACTGTATGTCTCCTCACTCAGAGCTCTGCAAAGTCACCAGTACAGGACACTGGCAGTATCTTTACTGAGATGATCCACTCCTTTGTGCCAAGTCACTGCTGAACTCTTTATATTTTATCTCTAAGAAATCACTGCATTGGGGTTCACGGTTTCAGATGTCACTGTCTTCACTCACAGATTTGTACCTCAGAAAAAGACATAATGGGTGTGTTGAGCCTTCTGAAGATGCTCCCAAGCCATGGCTGAGTACTGCTCCTGGCACATGCTCAGCTACAGTCAATGACTGAAAGATTTACAGACTTATTTGGTTCTTCCCAGGTCTCCTGAAGCACATCTGCCTGTCCTGTCAGAGTCCTCCCATACAACAGCTTTAAGGGTCGAAGTCCTTTTATGAGGGCGTTTATTGAGATGCGTTCTGGGATCACACTGCAGCCAGCTGTCCCATTCATTGCCAGTATCCAACAGTATCCAACAAGGACTTACTAAGCATCATCTTGAGGGCCTGATTGAGCTGCTCAACCAAGCTATCTCTTTGAGGGTGGTAGGAGCTATACCACAGAGCCTTTACTTTCAATAACCAAAGAGGTAATTTATCTGAACACTTGAAGGGAAAGTGTCTTGACGGGTGATACATGAACTAAACTTTTTTGCCATGTCTCTGTAAATTCCTGACCAAGACACCTAGCAGCTATACATCACTTTTTCACTTGACCTACTGTATATGCTCTGGTAAAGGTATAGACTAATATAAAGTGTTTGTCTTGTCCCAGGAGTAACACATTCCTTCTTTCAGCTTGGTACTGGAGGATGCTTACAATACTCTCTAATTCTAAACAATAAATCCTCATCTATAATGAATTTGCATCCATTTATTTATGCTTTTCCTTTCTGTCTTATAAAATGGGAAATAAGCATATTGTATATCTAAACCAAAATGTAGGACTCTTTGAGCAACCTTCTCTATGTGGCCTAGATTGACGTGACTTAATGTTTAGTTTCTGTTCTTCTAGAGCAGTTTCATTTGCATGGATAGGTTGCCATTCTTCTAGTTGATTTGTGCACACACAAATCAGTTAGATTGACAAGAGTAGTTCAAGTAGGGAGCTGTGTCAGCATGTGTAGGCTGCAAAGGAGCAAGTAAAAGTTTATTCCATGCTGAAAAGAGAAGAAAAACACAATTTCTCAGCTGTAAAGCCTTCAGAGCTCCACACCCGAAGAAGGCCCCACAGCCGAAACGTGTTTCTTTTCTTCTCTTTTCAGCACGGAATAAGCCTTTACTTTTTAGATTGACAAGATGCAAATATTATACAGATGTAAACACATGTTTTGTAATCAAATTAGTCCCAAGAACTACATCATAGGGTTGATTCTGCACTGCTGCTATCTTTATTGAACACTGATGGTTTAATACAGGTAAAATAACATCAACACAGAAATATTTACTTCTGTCACCAAGGATAGAGCAAATACTAGGATTTCCAAGTTTCAAATAGGCTCACTGTTATTTTCCAGGCAGTAGACATGGCAAAAAGTAGATTTGCTTTTGTCATAAGAAAACAAAAGCACCCCTGGAATTCTTCTTAGAATTCTCTTTAGAATAGTCTCTCCCCTACTCCAGGCTCTCTGTTGCCTGTTTTTACCTGGAGGAACTTCAGCTCGTTCATTGGCTGAAAGTTCCATGGGCATCAGAGACCCACATGGGTTACTCGGCCCTACCAGTCCCTGATTGGTTGATCAAGGTGAGATATGAGTCACTTACTCCTGACACTTAGGAATGCAGTTCAGATGTCCATCTGGCACTCCCTAGACAGATAGGCGCCAATGGATGACCATTGATCATGATAGCCAGGCTTAGCTTAGTGCCATTTGGGAGCTGTCCCTTATCTAAAGAAAACATCTTTAAATCAGCCTGCGTGAATAGCTTCTCTGTGGCTGCACCACAGAGATGAAAAGGGAGATGGGGCCTCATTTGGGAAAGAACAGTAACACTTAATTCTGTCTTATTAACAAGCATTGCCACTATAAGAGTATAGTACATGATACAGTAAAGTAATACAGATATAAATTAAACACTATCTCCTGTGTAATCAGAGTTCTAGAGTGTCCAATAGAGTAGAGGAATACAGATGTGATCAGAGCTACAGAGTATCCAGTACAGAAGAGGAGTACAACTGTAAATTATAAACTCTCCCCTATGTGATCAGAGTACCAGAGTGCCCAGTACAGTAGTGGAATACAGGTATAAATTAACCACTGTTGTACAGTATCTTTCTTCAATGATCCTCCAAATAGAAAGACCCTGTTCAACTACTGGTGTACATGAGTATGGTTTAAAGACATCCAATTTAATCTTTATTTGTATTTTCTTTCTATGTTTATATTTTATTTTGCTTCTTTTCCTCTCACTCTGGCTTTCTACTCCAACTGGCACAGAGCCACACTGGAGCTAATAAAGATAAGCCCATACCCAACCCCAAATCCAGGATACAGGGGCTCGCTGAATGAGGTCTGGACTCTATGCAGGAGGGCTACCGTGTCTCCAGAGACATTATAAAATGACAGAGTCCCAGCCACATGATCCACATACACTCCTATTCTGGAAGATGGAGGGACAGTAACTGCAGTGTTCTCTTTACTATGAAGAAAACAGCAACTGGAACCAGAGCAGAACAAACTCCAGGACTTGTCATTGTGTCCAAGTCGACAGTCGTCATCACCGTCTCCTTTCCTGCTGATTCCTTTATATGTGACACTTATATAAACCCCTATTCCACTCCACTGCACCTCCCAGTAAAAGCACATCCCAGACAGCCCCTCTCTGCAGAGCAATTGTCTCCAGCTGTCAAATCTCTCAGGGGAATCAGGATAATTCTGCTCCTCTTCACTCCAGCACACCTTCCTGTTCCCCTCAGATAGGCAGAGGTCTCTATGGGCTGTGTTGAGGTCCAGTGTGAGATGACAGAAATCTGAATGGAGAGAAGAGGGCAGTTAGAACACAGACAGGCGGAACAGACTTAGTGGTCCCAAAGCCCATTTGAAAATGTCGATTCCTCCTGTCAGTACCAAGGCTGATTATGGATCGTATTTCAGAATTTTTCCCACAGACCAACAGGAACATCTCTGGCTCACATGTCAGCTAGCCTGTTTCAGAGGTTCCTTTTGCACCCCGGTTCTCTCCCAATGACACATCCTGGTCTTTCTGTCTGTGGATCCATCAGTCTGTTTCTCATACATTGTATGTCATTGTACCGCACTGAGTGTCTGATGGCAGAATAGATCTGCAAGGCCTGATTCTCATGTGAAAATGCAGATTCTCTGAATGCTGACCGTTAGGGGTCTGTCGCCTCTCATTACCAGTGTGAGCACTCTGATAATCTTTACACTGCTCCCTTACACTACTCATGACTCATGGTTTCCCAAGTAATTGTGAAATTTTTGCTGAACCGGGTCTCGGGTTCATCCTCTGGTCCTGTTGTTTCACTGATGTGGAGATTCTACCCTGAAGTGTGCAAACTACAACCCAGAACGTGCTTACTCCGGATCCCGAAACCCCACCTTTGGTGACACCCTGAGCTTCTCAGGATCCTAAAAGAAGTTGCCGTAACCATACTTATAACCCTATCCTGTAACATTATAATAATTACCCAACAACCAGATGTTAATCATACCATAATCCTTGCTGTGACCATGTGGTGTGAGCCATACAGATATATCTACATCAGAGCATGTTCTGTAAACCACCAGGGATTTCTCTATTTATTGAGCAGGGGCTTATGTTTAAAAAATAACCCACTCCAGGATTTTTGAGAAGTTCCTGTTGACAATGTTGTCACTAGGGATGTGTGAGAATAACTGGTTGGACCTTATGCGGTGCTGAGAGAGTAGTTTGAATGAGTTTGGCGTCCAAATCCCAGGAGCGAAAGGCAGAATATGAGGTCGAGGTAGGAAGGCTTGGTCTGGTTTCCGGAGTGTTAGGTAGAGAGTATCAAAATCGAAAAGACGCTAGACAGAGACAAAGTCGAGGCCAGAGACAGGACAGGGTCAGGTACCCAGAAGTCAGGTCAGAAAGGTACGCGCACTAGAGAAAGTCAAAAGTTGATCTCAACAGTGAGAGGAGTGAGAGGGTATACATAGGAAAAAGGTGTGAGAAGTGCTAATAGCTTAACTAGTGCGCAGGTGTTGACGGAGAGTGGTGCATGCGGGAATATGGTTCATGACACCTGTCCCCCCCATGTGTCCGGGATTATTAAGAACTACAGTATGTGAGAGTCACTCTCAGCAACCGGCCGAGGCCTGCACTCTTTTCTACATGTGACTGAGATCTCATCGCGGCCCCCTCAATGCATCCCAAGAGAACTAACCTCCTGCAGGATTCCCCTACACCCAAACCCCATGTGCAGACTCACGGAAAACCCTCGCAGCAGCCTCTACACAAACAGTGGAATTAACGGTCTACCTTCCACAGACACCTCAGGGTCTGGATACCCCAAAAACTCGAATCCCTGCTAGGAATTTAAACCACAGCCTTTTAACCCTTTCACGGAACTGAAACAACAAACCCCCATGTCAGCTTGACCAATTTTATTCCTTCCTTCCTTCACCCCCTAGTTCTCCCCCTATGTCAAATCCTAGAATTTCTGTCTCTGTGTCGTCAAGGTGTGTTAATGTGTGTTGCATCCTTCTAGGGTGTTTGTATGTTATTGTACTGCTCTCTGTTGATTTTCAGAATTAAACTGTATCTCATCCTGTTGAATTTGTGTGTGTGTCAGTGTGTGAGTTTCAGGGTGTGTATCAGAATGTTTATTAGCGTGTCTCTGTTATGGGGTTGAGCTCCAGGTATCTTTCAGTGGAGAGTTTGGGTGGAAACAGACTCACAGTTTAAAAGCTCTGCTCTGGTCCTGGGCTCTGGGGCCTGCAAACTGTAAACATGACTCACTGGGAAAACACAGAAAGAAATGTCTGATTATTTATTTATTGTAGTGTTGATTCGATATTTATCAGCAAGAAATATAATAAATATTGTTACAAACAGGGGGTTACAAAATTGTGGATATCAGGAAATGACCAAGCATATTAATCAATAAGTCAATTAAATAATCATAAAATAACCCCCAGACTATAAAGAGTAATTTGCCAGAAATATACCAGAGCGGTTGGTATAATTAGAGGCACCTGAGTTCTTTGTTCTTTGATTCTTTGGTGAATTCAGTCACACTGGGTAAACAAACATTTATTAATAATGTTTCTATTTAGAACCTTACAAACAAGACATTCCTGAGGCCTACACCATAACCACTCAGAAAAACCCCAGACTGTTCTTATATAATGCCTATGAAGACCAAAATAAGAAAATGCTGTCTTCTAAACTAAGCAGAATACAACCTAAAGTTAAATCTGTCTCTTTTAAACAAAATGCACTCACTAACCAGGAGAGACTGTTTTTAACTGAAGGATTCCTTCTACAGGAAATCTGTTTCCTAAAACAACTGAATGGCAAGCTCTCTTAATTGGGTTTAAATACTAAACTCAAATCTGGTCTTTATGGATGATCTTAACCAGGCACACACTTTATTTTCTCCTGTCTCCTACTGCATGTGTGTTTCTGTCTTTCTGACTCTTACGTGCTTGTTTTTATGCCGAGTTCCTAGACTGTTGATGACACTCTTAATGATTTAAAAATAATTTAATTAACTAAGGTAAACCAAAGTAAATGTTAAGATTGCCTTGATCACTGAATCTTGTACTCCTACATCTTGGCGAACATGCCCTTGCTTTGTCCCTTATATCTGGACACTTCAATAGTCACAATAGCTGTAACAATATGTCTTTACTATATACTCTAATATGATGTGTATATACAGTGCCTTGCGAAAGTATTCGGCCCCCTTGAACTTTTCAACCTTTTGCCACATTTCAGGCTTCAAACATAAAGATATAAAT